GGCTGAATAATCTGTGTGTCAGGGCTAGGATGAGATGATGATGATGATGAAGAAGAAAACAACAACAACAACAACAACAACAACAATTTATACCCCACCCATCCGGCTGGGTTTCCCCAGCAGCTCTGGGTGGCTTCCAACAAAATATTAAAAATACAATAAATCACCAGACATTAAAAACTTCCCTAAACAGGGCTGCCTTCAGATGCCTTCTAAAAGTCAGATAGTTCAGGCATCCCCAACCTTTGGCCCTCCAGATGTTTTGGCCTACAACTCCCATGATCCCTAGCTAACAGGACCAGTGGTAAGGGATGATGGGAATTGTAGTCCAAAACATCTGGAGGACCAAAGGTTGGGGATGCCTGAGATAATTGTTTCTTTCCTTGACATCTGATGGGAGGGCATTCCACAGGGCAGGCGCCACCACCAAGAAGGCCCTCTGCCTAGTTCCCTGTAACTTCGCTTCTTGCAGTGAGGGAACCACCAGAAGGCCCTTGGCGCTGGACCTCAGTGTCCCGGCTGAACGATGGGGGTGGAGACGCTCCTTCAGATCACCAGTGGCAAACTTAGCACCTTGCTGGCTACTATTGGAAACAGAAATACTGGATGAGAAGATGATCTCTGTCTGATCCATCAAGGCAGGTCTCACTTGCTCTCAGAGAGGTTGCTTCTTGACCCTCAGCATACTCATGCCTTGAGGGATGTGCCTTTCCGTTTGCAAGGACAGTGACAGTGATTAAATGCACGGCTGCTCACGTTCTCAAGGGTACCCAACACCTCAGTGGGAGGATGGAAGTGTTTCCATGGTACACGTGCAGATCGTTTAACTCCACAGGAGTTGGTGAAAATGAACAGTGACCTTGATGGAACGTCTGCCATGCATTTGGGTTGAACATGAGCACACAGCCAAATTAGCATGCTTCCTCGCTCCTTTTTGTGTGCCTGAGCTGGCCTGTCACTTGGGCACTTTCCCAGGGTGCTTGAAGTGTCGATTAAGGCAGCCAACCATAAATCACCACAGCACATGTCAATAAAGCTGCTAGAGAACCACCAGGGATGGAGGAATCATATCCACTTATCACTTTAATCATGATGCCGGAGTCTATTAAAAAAAATCTATTCAGATCTCTGAACCAGTACTGGATGCTTAACTGCTCTTCAGATATTTGCTGCTGTTATTTATATGTGAGCAGTCTCCAGGCACACAGTGGAAATGAAAATAAGGCTTATGGGCTTTCTTTCCAGTTGAGCACACTGGCCAGGCACAGAGATGGTCAGATCTGAAGTTCTTTGGGTCGTTCTTAAATCATTTTTGTATCATTTCTTTGTTTTAGTATTTTAAAATCGGGTGCATGTTCTGCTCAAAGGCACTTGTTCTTTGTGATTCAGGGGCAATGTGCATGCTTTTGGGTGAAGTTTTGCAAGGTTGATTAGCTACACAGCAAATGTTGGACATAAAGTGCACATATATAATCACTAAGGCAAACTGCTAAGCAGTTCAAGCACTATCAGAGTGTGACCCTTCGCAAACTGATTCATTATTACATTTTCTCTGCTGTCAGATGTTCTATCCAGATTGGGACCTTCATCTGAGGTAAGATCTGCCTCTGTCTTTGGTCTCACTAATATTCCAGTCTCCCACATGTATATGATTTGAATGTGCAGCTATGCAGACACCCATGTCCCTGTGGTCAGCCAGAAGAGAGGCCAATGGCATCATCTCAGGTACAGTGGTACCTCTGGTTGCGACCGGGATCCATTCCGGAGGCCCATTCAGAACATGAAAAGAGCGCAAGCCACGTCTGCGCATGCACTGGTTGCGATTCGCTGCTTCTGCGCATGCACGTGATGTCATTTTGCGCTTCTGCGCATGCATGAGCCGCGAAACCCTAAAGTAACCCTTTCCGGTACTTCTGGGTCACCGCGGGACGTAACCTGAAAGAATGTAACATGAAGCGGACGTAACATGAGGTATGACTATATAGTAAAGGGCTGTCAAAGCTGCCCTCTCCTGTATCAGCATCTGTCTCTGTCACTATCGCTTGTCTCTGTCATTCCCAACCTCAGTCTGCCCTCAGCCAGCCCCAAATTTCATGCCTTCATACTTGCAACCAAAATAGGTGGTGGCCCTCCCTGCCAGCCACTGCCTCCTCCTCCTCCTGAGTTGCCCACCCTTCACCCTAAGTTCCCAGGGTGCATTACAACATCAAAACACGAAATCACAAAAATGACGTTGTTCCTAAAAATCGAATCTCAAATGTCAAAAGCCAGGGTAGAGGTTCCTCTTCAGTGTTTGCTAGAAGCTGTACAATGAAGGTGCCAGGCGCACCTCTGTGAGGAGGGTGTTCCACAATTTAGGTGCCACAAAAAAGAATGTCTTCTTCTTGGCTCAAGCGTGCCAACTCTATGGGGCCAACGTGTCTTTGCCCCTCACTCATAATCTATTGGGAGAGGGCCAGGCGCCCTCAATGTTGAAGGGACGGAGGAGGCCAACTGCAGAGCCATTGGTCATTGAAGCCATGTCACACTGGACTCCATGCTCAGCCTCCTCCCAACAATGTGATGCTGCCCACACGATGTGTCACACACATGCGCAATGTGCACCGGGCGCATGATATCACTCACGTGCAATGCATACCCCCAATGCATACCCCCTCAATCTCGGGTGCAAGTCTGCGCCTCTGGCTGGACTGCCTCTTCCCCTGAACCTCTGAGGTTAGAGGAACTATGCAGAGGGTCCCCCTGGGCTGATCTTAGCACCCAAGAGTATCTGTAGAAAAGGAGGAAGTCTTTCAGATATTTGGGACTTAAGTCATTTAAGGCTTTAAGAACACTAATGTGAGCACCTCGAATTGCGCCCAGAAATGCACTGACAACTAGTGCAGCTGTTTTACAATGGAGTTACATGAGATCTAAGTGGAACCCCAGCCAGAAATCTGGCTGCTGCATTTTTTTGATCAATTGAAGCTTCCAAGTCATCTTTAAGGGCAGCCCTACATAGAGCGCATTGCAGTAATCCAGTCTGGAAGTTACCAGAGCATGGAGTACATGGACCAAATCATATCTGTCCAAAAGGGGTCATAGTTGGTGAAGCAGCTATAGCTGGAAAGGGGCACTCCTAGCCTCCGAGGCCACCTGACCATGTTGAATCCAGTCTCAATGCTGCCCTTGTAGACTCAGCAGGGAGGATGGGGATGGGGACAAAAAAATTAGTTGGCTCTCCCTGTCACTGGCACTGGCTCTGCCTACTGCTGGGCTCCATGCCTTCTGTCCTACCAGTCCCAATTTGCACCAGCCACCTCCACCCACAGCTTACCGTATTTTTTGCACCATAACACTCACTTTTTCCCTCCTAAAAAGTAAGGGAAAATGTCTGTGTGTGTTATGGAGGGAATGCCTACAGGTGGTATGCCTACGGATTTTCCTCCTCTAAAAACTACGTGTGTGTTATAGTTGGGTGCGTGTTACAGAGTGAAAAATACGGTATCTGCACCTGTGTTGCCTGTTTGCCCAGTAGCACACAGATAAAGCTACAGCAAGTACAGAAATGTAGTGACTCCTTATATGACCATCTCGCTCCCTACCCTCCAGAAATCCTGTTGCAATTTATAAAAACAAACAAACAAAAAGAACCAACCCTGATGGCATTATTCCCTGATATTAAATGATGAATACTGAAAGGGGGGGGTCTTCTAATCCAATAACTACTTTAGTTCCCTGGATGACTGATGATATAAATGACCTGTGATGATCATGTGCAGGCTTGTTCTAGGAGCACAGTGTAATTTCCATCATTTTCTGAGGATACATCATCCATCAACATTAAAAGTTATTGTCCGGATCAAAGCTTCTTACAAAAGGTCCTCAGTGGGAAGGCGGGGGAGAGGCCTTTGAAATAAGCCTGCTTTGGCTCACAGGAAGTTCTCCAACTGGATTTCTACTTATTCTGTTCCCAAAATATTGTCTGGGTTGAGGAAGCAGGGGCAACTCAACATCCTGAGAGGTAGGTTAGGAAGAAGTAATAGGCTATCTATTTATTTAAAAGAGTTCTTGCCCACCCTTCTCCATAGGTAAAGGTAAAGGCAAAGGACCCCTGGACAGTTAGGTCCAGTCAGAGGTGACTATAGGGTTGCAGCACTCATCTCACATTTCAGGCTGAGGGAGCTGGCGTTTGTCCACAGACAGCTTTCCAGGACATGTGGCCAGCATGACTAAACTGCTTCTGGTGCACAGAGGACCATGACAAGGGCCAGAGTGCATGGAAACACCGTTTACCTTCTTGTCATGGTGGTACCTATTTATTTACTTGCACTGGAGTGCTTTCAAACTTCTAGGTTGGCAGAGCATTGGGAGCTCACCCCGTCATATGAATTTGAACCGCTAACCTTCCAATTGGCAAGCCCAAGAGGCTCAGTGGTTTAGACCACAGTGCCACCTGCGTTACAACCATTCAGTAAGATAGCATTGAAATCCAATAAGACAATGCAAAACTAGAGAGAGGAAGAGAGATCAATAGAGGTGGTCCCACAAAAAGTTCTCACCTTGTGTTTCCAAGAGTGCTGGAAATATCTAGAGGGCCTTCTCTGCCCATTTTATCTCCCTGAAAGGGTCTGTAGAATATACGGTACTAAGAAGTATGTACTCAGTTTTTATAATTTAAAAAACTGCAAAGTGATAAGGAAAATGGGATGAACTTAATTTAAGATCGGGGCCATAGTTCAGGTTGCCATACTTCCAAGTGATCAGGGATCATCTGATAGGGAACCTGCCCACCACCCAGGAGAACCTCAGGCATGTTCAGATCCAGTCTGTAGGTAAGCAAGATTTGTTCTCTCTCTCTCTCTCTCTCTCTCTCCCCAGAGTTCACTGTTACAATTTTGAGCTGGTAAAGTTTTGCTGAGGACTGCTGCCCCATGGAACTTGTTGTGACTGACTTCTGAGTAAGCCAGCCTTAGGGATCATGTAGAAAAAGAAGTGATGTAAACAAGGTTGGGTTTTGGGACAAATTTAGCTCAGCTGGTAGAGCTTGAGGCTCTGAATCTCAGGGTTTGTGGGCTTGAGCCCCACATTGGGCAAAAGATTCCTGCATTGCAGAGGGTTGGACAAGATGACCACCAGAGTCCCTTCCAACTTTACAATGCTGTGATTCTGTGAAGATTGGGAAAGGGAAAGACAGAGAGCAATTGAAACTGGCAGATCAGATTTAGGGATGTGACAACAGTGAATCATGTATATGCAAAATGGCTCAAAGTCCTGCCTCTGAAGTCTCCCGAATATGATCCAGCCCCTGTATCACCAGTGTCCTAATCTTACATCACTTTCCCAATCAGAATTTGGGCTACCATCTCCTTCCTTCCCATCTGCTCCCATTTTCCTACCTGACTTCCCATGGTGTGACCAACTGGCTTGCCAGAAAATCACAGGTGCGCATCTAGTGAAGGAAGAGAAAATGAGGCTCAGGAGGCAAAGCAGAGTTACATATTCATGGTGTGCTCCTTCTGTTACATCCCTCTCATGAGTAGCGTTAGCATCCTACCCAAGAGAAGGACTACAAAGGAAGAGGAAAATGAAGCAGAGGGGAGAAAGAGCTGGCGCAAGAGCAGTGATGAGATCAACCCAGAGAGAGAGAGAGAGAGAGAGAGAGAGAGAGAGAGAGGTGGGGTTGGGTTGGGTTGGATTGGCAGGATCATCAAATTGGAGGAGGGGGATGGTGGAAAAAATATTTCCAGATAGTTATTGCAGGAATCAGCATGAAACTGATGGATAGACTGTGTACAGGGCTTAATACACAGTTTCTTGTACTGCAGTATCAGTTTTGTCATTGAGGTCCAAACTGTGGGAATGTTCAGGGAGACAGGAGAGGCTATATTGTTTAATAAGATCCTTTCCAACTTGCACGTTCTATGTGCAAGTTCTATGATTTAGCAGAGTAACATCCCCATTTTTAAACTTACACAGCAGATAACGTGTTGCCAAACTTGCTTAAGCCTCTAAAATAAGTTTCCTGGTAATTCCCCTTTATTCCCTCCTAAAAAGAATGGACACAACACAGTCTTGTATAAAATAGTTTACTCACACATTCTGTTCACAGATGGATCCCAGAAGGCAGACTTAAGTTACAAAATATATACACCTGGAATCTATCTCATAAGGAGATGGAAGCCAAGATTGCATCTCAGGCTGATGCTTCTTCAACAAAGGCAAAATGGAGAAGAGAGAGATGTGGTGGCCAGCCCTGTGCTTTTGTTACCTGCACAGGTGAGGTCACACCCACCTCTGGTCACATGAAGAGGAAGTTTGTCCCAGCCCAGGAGAAAATAGGAAGTTTATCTACTGGCTGGACAAACATCCCTCTCCATGTCTAAACATGTCCACTCTAGGAATGTTGTATTTGACTGCTCTGTGTTTCACAGTCCGTACAAACTCGATGTTGCTTAATACAGAGTCATAGAATTGTAGAGTTGGAAAGGACCCCAAGGGTCATCTAGTCCAGCGCCTTGCTGTGCAGGAATGCAGGATTCTCAACTAAAGCATCCACGACTGCTCTTCAATTCTATGATCAGAATGAATATCCCTCCAAGAGTTTTCTAAAGCTTCTAGCTACACTGGGTGGGAATTTCTATCCAAATCACAGAGAGGGAACACATTTCCACCTCTGATGTAAGATTCCCAGGAATAATCCCTCCTGGACCTGCAATTAACTGCGGGAAATCAAGATATGTAGATGCATGCAACATATTAAGGGAACATGTCTTTTGCCCTAAATTGTACAGTCAACATGAGGTAACAAGTCATGGTTCTGTAACTGGGATATCTTTGCCACAAACAAATCTTGCTCTGAATCACTGCAGGGTAGGGATTTCTTCTTCTTCTTCCCTGATTACTCCCATCCCCCACACCTAGGGGTGCTTCTTGGCCATTGCTTTTTTCCAGTTCTGGAAATTTAGGTTGCAGAATGAAAGTTGATTTAGTACTCTTGCACAACAAATGAATTGTGGCAGGGAGCTATACTGGAAAGTGTGGGAGAACAATTGCTTGACACGACATAATCTAATCTCACCACACATGAGAGCCATTGTGATGCAGTGATTAGAGAGTTCAACAAGGACGTGGGAGACCAGGGTTCAAATCCCCACTTGGCCATGAAGCTCACCTTGAACCAGTCAGTCACCCTCAGCCTAACCTACCCCAGAGGGTTGTTGTGAGAACTGAGCAAGAAGAAGGGGAATAACCATGTACAGTGGTACCTCGGGTTACAAACGCTTCGGGTGACAAATGCTTTGGGTTACAGACTCCACTAACCCAGAAGTAGGTTAAGAACTTTACCTCAGGATGAGAACAGAAATTGTGTGTCGGTGGCACGGCAGCAGCAGGAGGCCCCATTAGCTAAAGTGGTACCTCAGGTTAAGGACGGTTTCAGGTTAAGAACGAACCTCCGGAATGAATTAAGTTTGTAACCCAAGGTACCACTGTATGCCACCTTGAGCTCCTTGGAGAAAAAGGTGGATCATAGATGCACATGCAAATAATAATAGTGAATCAGAACGAATGCTTATACACTGTCTAACCTCCCCACAAACTTTGTGCAAAAAATTCACGCTCAGTGCCCAATGAATAGGTTGTCTGCAAGTGAGCCGGAACAGTGGAATGAGGGAAAACAATGTATTAAAAAATCAAATTAATGATTCCTGGAAATCAACCCAACCAACCGCCATGGCTTTCTGTAGCCGCATCCAAACAGAGGAACCACCACTCCCTAGATAATGCAGATGTCTTCTTCCCAGAACATCTGTTGCTGTTTAACAGTATATCCCTTTCATTTTTGGCTTCAAAGCCCTGATGTCAAGTTCAAAAATTGCACTTCAACAGAAATTTGCATCCCCGATTCACTTTGCTTGTGGTTGCCAGCATGCCTGGTTTATTGGCACAACAGACAGAATAACAATGTCTGAGCGTGGTTGCCAAGGAAAGAAAAAATATATATACATGGCAACAATATGTGTTTGTGTTGCTTATATATTGGAGGAAAAGAAACTTGGTCAAAATGCTCACCCGTGTTTTGAGCTACTGTGTGCTTCCATAATATCCACGGACTGAAGGCCAGTTCACCTATAATCTGTAGGATCAGGGCTGGCTTCAGTGTTGAGGGGCGTGTTGGCTATGTGTCCTGTTTTATAGTAGAAAGTCTTCCTTCAGGGAGAACTCTATTAAAATCTGCAAGTAAAAGCTGTGATTATAATGCAACCTTTAAACTGGAATTGAACCAGACAGTTCTTCAAGATTGCATATAAACTCAGCCTTTACATGCAGATAAAGCTAACAGCTCTCAAGCCCTATTCAATGTATCCATGAGTACCCAGCAGGAGTTCCAGCTTGGCCCTGTGACAGTGGGCACTCAGGACCTTCATGGGGAATTTTGTGGGTGCCAGGCACCCAGGGCCCCAGGGAGTTGGCACCTATTGTACCCAGATTGCATGGGCTAGCCCTGTCTCCTACTCACTGACACATACACTGGTCATATCCTCTAGGCAACGTGTGACTGGTATCAGTCTAAAGGGGGCCTACTCTCAGAAGGATGTGACAGATGTAGAGCTCCCTCTATGGATAGCTCAGGTGGTACAGCATGAGACTCTTATTCTTAGGGTTGTGGGTTCAAGCCCCTTGTTGGGCCAAAGATTTGTGCACTGCATGGGGTTGGACTAGATGAACTCCAGATTCCTTCCCAAATCTATGGCTCTATGAAATCCTGGTCCATCATTCATACATAGATTCCATTCAGACTGATTCCAGTTATGCATCTACTGGGGGGAGTGCCTATAATTCCCTATTAGAGCCTATGGGGCAAGGCAGAAAGGCAGGTTGGGTGTTTCAGCACCATGGAGAGTTCCTAACCCACAAAGGTTGGTAGTGAACTTTGTGCCTTTTGAGCCTTTGGCTGCATTCACATGACAGTTTCTTCCATTTCTTGATGTTTTCCTAACTGTTAATTTTCACATTTTATTTGAGCTTTCACATGGCATAGAAACCACTTCCAGAAAACTAATTGAATATAGTGCATGCTTAACACTCATTTCCATGTTAATTGATTCCCGAAAAAGTCTGTTTGCAATCCCCTTAACTTGGAAAATCATGGCAGTAAAGTAACTAAATTTGGGGCAGTATTGCAGGATACAATTTTTTTCTGCTGTTTTCATGGGTGAATCATGGGAGAACAGAAGGAGGCATGTGCAGAAAGCATGGGAGAGGGCTGATGTTGTCCAGTGATGTTGGTTCTGGTGTCACACCATGGCCACTGGTGTGAATTGAAATTTAGTGTGACATGCTGGTGTAACAGTCCAAAAGCCACAGCACAACAGGTACAGCACTAGGAAATAGGAAAGAAACACCAGCATTATAATCGGGAAAGCTAACACAATATTACCCACATCTGAATGTACCCTTTGCCTCCTGTACATTTCTCCTATGCTCTGCCCCTTTTAGAAACCTGAGTATCTTTAAGGGTCAGTGCTTTGTCCAGAAGATGGAAACCTCTGATGTTATCTATGGGTTGGCCAGGTAGCATGGGAGGCCCTTGGTCCAAGCTTCAGTTCTATGAGCCATGGAGCTGTAGGATCTGATTTAGCAGGATCTTGCCTCTCAGCTTCAGGTTCAATGATCTCCTGATCAGCAGCATCAGGTTCTGAGGCTGGAATGTGGTCCAGCTCCTCAGCCAATGACGCTGTAGCTTCCAACTTGGTGTGCTGGTCACTGCTAGAGTTTGGGGTCATGACACCCCTGGAGTAGAGCTAGATTGCACATTCAGCACGTCTCCTCTATGCATCTGGTACCAGCAGGTGCCAAATACATGACTAGAGCTCCAAATGAAAACTATTAAACCTTTACTGGCTGCACACAAGCTCTTTACAAGTCTTCATCAGGCTCCAGTATAATTCAGTTGGCTTCTGTGGCAGTAGCTTCTTCTTCCTCCTCTCCTGCAATCATCACCCCCCCCACCTCTTTTGTGAAACAACAATGTCCATCGAGTGTGATTCCAAGCATCTTGCTAATGGCTCTCCAAAGTCAGCAACACTGATGGGCATAAGAAGAGAATTTTGGGTCTCAGCCAGTTCTTAAATGAACCCACAGCACAGCTCTGTTTCATAGACAGTTCCAAAACTGCAGTGAAGGGTTTTTTTGTGGTTTTTTAATGTGCTATCTTGGGACGATGAACCTTTTTGATATGCCATGTCTGAATTCCTGTGGCAGTTCAGAAGTGATTAGATGAGCCCTGTCGAAGTGGTGTCAGTGGGGTGGTGCTGTAAGCGCTGTCAAAGGGTGCCATCAACTATTCCTGTTCAACCCTGGTCACGTCTGGCTCTCATCACTTTATCTTTGTAGTACCAGAATCAGGCTTGATGCCTCTGTAGCGTTGGATGACTGCTTAAATCAGTGTGAAGGACAACTACATTAGCAGCCTGCATCATGCAAGCACAGGAACAAGGGCCATCTTGCTCTAAACTTAGCAGTCTGATCCTCTAAGCTGCAGCACTCTCTAAATATCAAGAGTCTTCCACGGGTGCACCAGGAACATTCCCCCCCCATCCTCCCCCCTTGCCCCCCCCAGCAGCAAGACTTGCAGCATATTCAGATCTCATTGAGCTGTCGTCTCCCGACCCATTTCTGCCCAGGAAGTTTATGTTTTTGTATTTCTGAAACCCTTGGGGTTTAGCTTATGGGATTCACTGGCATAAGGTGTGGAGATGGTGGCTTAAAAAATAATTATAATACATTTTTATTGGTTTTTTTAAAACATCATTTCCAACAATCATATAACATAACTTCTTATCTTATACAATGTTTTAGACTTCCATCAACACCTCTGATGATTTTCCATTCTTTATCACTTATTCTGCATTTCTTAATTTCTCTATTACTCTTAATTATCATTAACTAATAATTCTCCACATAGTCTTTCTTGCAATATTTCAAATAGTCCTCCTTACAAAACTTCTTGCAGTCCTACTAGCGTAATCTGTTCATTACAATTACTTTTCAAATAGTTCATATATTTACTCCAGTCTTCTAAGAATCTCTGGTCCCGCAGGTTTTGAACCCTTCCTGTTAATTTATCCAATTCTGCATAGTCCATCAGTTTCATCTGCCATTCTTCTTTCATCGGTGGCTTTTCGATGATGGCTTTTAAAGGGGGTTGGGCATCAACAGGAGTACCATAGTATTTCCGTGTATTAGACGCCTCCATCCATAAGATGACTCCTATTTTTTTGAGCCCAAAATTAAGGATTTGGGGTTAAAAACCAGAACCAGAACCAGAGCCAGAACCAGAACAGAACCTGAGCCTGGGCTGCCTGGGTCAGAGCTCAAACCCAAACCTGAGCCTGGGATACCCATGCTCACACCAAAACCAGAACCCACATTGCCCACGCCAGAGCCAGAGCCTGAATCGCTGTGCGTTCACCATCTGTTTATAAGACAACCTCCCATTTTTGACTAATTTTTTAATAGCAGAAAACATTGTCTTATACACAGAAAAATATGGTATAATCAAGGGAAGCAATAGTACTGCTCTATTCTGCATTGATCAGATCACACCTGGCGTTCTGTGTCCAGTTCCAGGAACCACAATTTAAGAAGGATGTTGACAAGCAGGAATGTGTGCAGAAGACCAAGATGATCAAGGGTCTGGTAATCAAGCCTTGTGAGGAATGGTTGAATGAGCTGGGAATGTTTAGCTTGGAAAAGATGAGATTGAGAGGAGATGTCAAGGCTTGTCACTTGGAAGATGGAGCAAACTTGTTTTCTCCTGCTCTGGAGGGTAGGATGCAAACCAATGGATTCAAGTTGAAAGAAAGGAGATTCCCACTAAACATCAGGAAGAACTTTCTGACAGTAAGTTGTTTGAAAGTGGAACGGACTCCCTTGGAAGGTGGTGGACTCTCCTTCCTTGGAAGTTGTTAAGCAGAGGTTGGATGGCCATCTGTCATGGATGCTTTAGTTGAGATTCCTGCATTGCAGCGGGTTGAACTAGATGACCCTTGGTGTAGCCTTCCAATTCTCCATCTATGATTCTAATAGCTTAACATAACAGGTAGTGTACGCCAGGAGCAGGGAACCTCAGGCCCTCAAGTCTTTCCCATCTCTACCTTGTGATGCTGGGGTTTGAACCTGAGATGGTCAGGGACTGGCTAGATGATGAGGAGTGATGGGAGGCTTCAGTCAAGGGACTTCCTAGTGAAGCCACAGAGGAGAAAGGCTCAGATCCAGGCGACTAGTGGTGAGACATGGAAGATAGATCAGAGGAGGGAGAAAGCCATGGAGGTGGAAGAAACAGGAGGCTTCAGTGGACAAGAAGACCCAGAGGCAGGAAGACCTCCAAGGACAGGACTGAGTGCAGATGGACACACTTTGAGCTCAGGCTCTGAAGGAGGGGACGAGGAAGAGACAGATGCTACAGCAGCTTCACAGCAGCTGCCTGCTTCCTCTGCATTGAGCTCCTTTCCCCCTTTGACCCCAAGGTCACACAGAGTTTTACACGTAGCTGAACAGAAAGCTAGGAAAGCCCAAAGGGCGCCCTCCTCCCTGTGTCTGCTTGCAAGACGTCTGGAAGAGGAGGTGTAGAAGGAGGAGTTGTCAAGAGCCAGTCTTGGCAATGTCTTCACTGAAGACAGCCATGTGTTGTGTACTTATTTCCTGAATAGAACAGCTGACTTTACTTTGAGTCTCTGAGTCTCCCTTCTGACCTGTTGATGACCTTGCTCCCTGACACCCCCCTGACAGAGACCACTGAGCTATGGACCTTGTTGGGTAGCATCAGGAGTATTACCTTCATGCCATGCTCATGGGCATATGGTTGACCACCATAGGATGCCCGAATGCCATAGACGAGCCTGGGACCTAAACCAACAAAACAGCTTTGTGCAACAAACCCAAAGCAGCACGTAATGTAATGAAATATGCCTTGTTGTGACAAGGACATGTGGGATGAATTTCAGCTTGCAAGCTGGCTGCATGGCTAAAGCAATTACATGATTGCTTTGAAGGAAGCCAAATTCTGCAGACATGCATACAATATGTATCCCCAATGTGTCCAATTTAGTAATGTGAATAGGCTCTTAATATTTATTGTTACTTTTATGGGTATACACTAGTGATATGGGAAGCCTAATTTGGGAATTCTCTTTTCAGCTCGATTTTCCAAACTTGGAGCAGCTGATTACATGGAAAATTCATCTGCTTACCATACAGGATCCCTGATGGCTCAATCAAAAAGGGCAGGCAGAAAGTGATAGGGAAAATCTCTCCCTGAGACCCTGAAGAGTCTCTGTCATTCAGAGGCAACTGTACTAGTCTAGATTAATACATTTTTTACCAGCTTTCTGTGCTCTTAATTCTTGTGCATGGTCCTGCCTAGGGGTGGAAAGAAAATTCAATTCAGTTAACATTTAAAGGTGCATCTATGGGCTTCACTCTTTTGAAAATAATATGAGGATCAAAACACAGCAATCCTTCAAAATTTTCACTTCTACATATTTTGCAATGCAGTTCTCCAACCAAACAATATTTGCAAAAACGCATTATATTGGGGAAAATTTTGCAAAGCGATCTTCTCTAATATAATACATTTTTGTAAGTTATTTGCACTAATGTTATATGCATACAAAAATGTGTTTATTAG